GTTATCACTGCCCTTGCTTTCAGGGAAGTGTGTGGAGCTGGCGTGTGCACGAGATGCCGTGTCCGCCCTGTGCTCTGAGCCCTGTGCCCTAAGCCTGTCCCCTGAGCCCTGAGCCCTGTGCCCTAGGCCTTGTCCCCTGAGCCCTGAGCCCTGAGCCCTGTGCCCTGAGCCCTGGGCCCTGGGCCTTGTCCCCTGAGCCCTGAGCCCTGTGCCCTAAGCCCCGCACATTGATCCCTGAGCCCTGGGCCCTGGGCCTTGTCCCCTGAGCCCTGAGCCCTATGCCCTAAGCCCTGCACCCTCAGCCCTGTGCCCTGAGCCTTGTCCCCTGCGCCCTGAGCCCTGTGCCCTGTGCCCTGAGCCTTGACCCCTGAGCCCCGAGCCCTATCCCAGATTCCTGACTTCCCTGGAGAATCCCACCCGGGGACTGGGCCTTGGAGGAGGAGAGGCACCAGAGCTGGGTTTATATCCTAGTCCTTCTGGGACGTTCGCTGGAGCTGGTATTTATTTGGAAAGGAAAGCAAACACTAAAACATTCTGTTACCAAATAAAAGCCGCATTCCAGGAAGGACAGCAGGTCTGGGGGGCTGCAGCCCCAGCGCCTGGCTCCCTGCACAGAGGAGCTCAGCAGGCTGGGAGGGCCAGCCATCTTCACCAGACAGTCCAGTGGGACAGTGGACAGGACCCCCGGGAGACGCACCAGCCCACAGGCCCTGGCCCTTCTGGGGAGAGGCTAGGTGTAGAGTGGCCATTTTCCCCAGCACAGTGGACCAGGCTGCAGGACCACAGGACTGCGATCTGAGACCCAGCAGGCCACAAGCCGGTGCCCTGGAGGGCTGACCCGGCTCCTCTCCCCCCACCCCTCCTGCTTGCCTGCTGCCCCTTCGCAGGGCGGAGGCTGCCAGCCTTCCCTGTGACTTGCTGAGTGGAAGGCAAGCTGGGGCCCTTACCTCTTCCCTCGCAGCAGCCTCCCTCACTCCACATGGCTCCAGGGCGCTGGAGGCTGGCCAGTCTAGGGCAGCTCGCCCTGCCCCGGCCCCTTCCTTGGAACCTCCTCTGAGGCTCGAAGTCACCGCTGAGTTTGATCTTCCTCTGGCCACTCCCGGCCTCCTCCCCACCCTGCAGCCTGGGCCCACCTCTGCACCATGTCTGGGTGCCCCTCTGGGAGCCTCAGTCCAGCTGCTGACTGCTCCACTACTGCCCCTCCCCAGCCCCAAACCACAGACCCAGAGGGAGGCTCGCCTGCCCCAGCCTGGCCGTGGACAGGGCACGAGAGCTGCTTTCACCCATCCCCACGGGCACGGAACATCCCCTCCGCCCCACGTGCACCCTCGGGTGAGTGTGGACACAGGAGCCACGTCCCCGTCCTCTTTCTCAGTCTGTCCAGCTCCATCTGTCCATCACATCCCTCCATCCAGCCCCATCTCCAGTCATCCTTCCTCTGCGTGGCTCTCATCTGTCCATCCGCCTGCCGTCCCTCGCCCCCACCGTGTCCACACACCCACCATGTGCTCACCGCTGAGAGGGAAAGGGGG